TTTCACATCGACAATTTTTTTAGGACACATAAACTTGATCTACCAATAATATATGTGTTTGGGAATAGTTACCTTCATCAATCAGAGCAACAGTCCCTAGGACTTTCACCTTAAGCACCTCTCCTCGTTTTGCAACCCTGTAACCGATTTCGAGGACATCGATTGGATCATTATCACCTTTAAAACCTGTGGCTTCATCTAAAACTTCAGGATTCTCCCAAGTCTACACAGGCAAAAGATATGGGTAAAAGAAAATTTAGCCTGCTTCAAACAAATAAATTCGTGTGTCTTGCGCCAAAAATTAATACTAGAATTCTTTCTGTTTACTACCTGAGGAAGAGCTCCATAATTCCAAATGTATCCGTGATGGGGAAAACAATTAGCGACAAAACGCAATTTCCCGTTTTTGATGTCCTGCTTAATGGGATTAAGAGTTTCTTTTAAATTGATTTCCATTTTTGCATTGGTCCATCGTGGTACTTCCACAACCATGTGGAATACTTTATTGGGTTCATCAGCGAAAAGAGGAATATCGTGCATTGGAGAAATAATGCTATCATCATTTTCTGCAAAAATCAGTTATCACGAAAGAAAAAACGTGCTAATTACAAGGTAACGATTATATATACTATTACACTAGGATGAGAAATTAAAGTTCGCATGCTTTTTAGCAATTAGTTATTCAACTAATTGATTCAATGGCGGCGTTTTCAAGCAACGTTGAAGATTCTATTAACATTTGACCTTTAAATGAACTCGTTTCAATAGAATAATCATAGTAACAGACTGAAGAAAGAATAATAAAAAATTACTACTGATTAATGAATGTTTCCGGATTGGTGGAATCATTTACAAGGTTATAACCGTGAATTTCATTTCACTACTTACTGAAATATATTCTGAAATCTGTGGTATTGGGTGCACCACGTTCCACCGTTGTATAAGACATATTCGTAATAGTTGATTGAGCACTGAATGGTGAGATGCAATTAATCAGAGGATAAATGGCCACTGGATTTAGCAGAATTCTGATTCTGTTCAAACTGAACGACCGAAAAGCGTGCACATTTACTAGAGAACGCATTGCGACATCTACTGGATAATATACAGTGTATACGTCAATGAAATGTGTTCCATTCAGATTGAGTGACCCCA